AAAAAACTTTCCATCAAATTGTGTTTGGGGAGGGGATTCACTTCAAAGAGATCTCAACAACAGTGCTGTCTGTCTAATTTACGTTTTCAAGCACATGCCAAATGTAAAAACCGCAGTTTTCAGAAGTGCATAATTACAGGGAGAGAATGAATGACTATAAATACCTTCACCATTACTAGTCTCTACTGAAGAACATGATCCATACTGAAGGATAATTAAGGCAAATATTTCTGATCCTCCAACAGATTGTACCAGGAATGTATGCCTATGTACTGGTGCTTCTGTGTGTTCATCCTGCATGGGTACATGCTTGTGTGTGTTAAATGAAGTGTGTGTGTGTGTGTGGTTGTGTATGAGAGGTGGGGGGGGGATCACAAGCTTCTCCCCTAAATATAGTTCTGTTCTGGTAGAGCTGCTAGGTACGAATACATCAGGTGAACTCAAGACAGCCCAGCTTTAATTGGTGCACGGAGTCATTAATGGAAGAGAAACACAACTTGAGTACAAGTGTGTGTGTCTGAACATGTGCGCCTAAGTGTGTGTGTTACACCTTGTCAATACCCTTTAATCAACAACAGACATGGAACTAACTTTGATCAACTAACATGTAGCAAACAAGAAGATAATAATGAACTTCCATGTTCAGCCCAGGACTCTTAAAATAGACCATTTCAACTAGGATATATCAGATTTGAGGATGATATTTCCAGATTAGGTCAGCTAATTAGTGCCCCAGTATCTGGCACGGTGCTTTGACTGAGATCCAAATAAGCATATTGTTCTCAGAGCAGACGAGTGAAAGCATTTTTGGGGCTCTTTTCTGAGTCAGAAAGAATGAGACAGAGAAAACTTTACTCGACTGCTCTCCCTGCCTTGCTTTGTTATCTCCTTTTCTCTTTCTTGCCCGATCAAAACATGAGAATGTTGCTTTGAGTGGCCAAATGAAAGGAAACCAGGCGAACATGAGCGAGAGACCGTGTTTATTTCTAGTATATCTATAAACCTGGCCAGGTTTCTGTGTCAGCAGGGGTCTGCATGG